TTCATTTCTTCGGTAAAACGATAAATTCTGCACAACATTCCAGATGTTGCCTCAGCAAATGCATACATTACAGAAAGATATTCTTAATCTCCATGTAGCAATGACTAAAATACCATTCACCTTAATTGTTTGCTGTAGCTATGTGCTAACTTTCCATCATTCACGTCGGAGGACACTGAAATCCCCAAATACTAACATAGACTTGTCTGTTATGTTTTAAGGGCAAAAAAAAAAACTGCTCTATTCTTTCTAAAATATACTACATCTGCAACTTTCATATGCAATCACTTGATGGCTGCATGTCCCTTTGTATCCTCCTCACAGCTTACTACTGTCAACATGTTAAAGAAATTACATTCAGTCCCACTATCCATGTCATTCAGCTAGGTTGGATATGACTGAATAATCAACTTTCAAGCACTAATCCATTTAGCATTCCACGAGTTACACCCTGCCAAATGAAAATTACATTTTGCATCCTCTTTTCTCCAATATCAGATCATTAACATTTTAGCATAAATCCCATAAATCCTAATCTCATGCCACAAATGCTGATGTGGAACCATATCAACTACTTTCTCAAAATCTAGTGTGCTATATATCCTTGAGTTCCCCTTATCCAATCACATAGTTACACACCCTCAAAACTCATTCGTGTTTTACAGTTAAAAAGGTCAAGTAAAATGAGAAAAGAGGTAGGATACCCTAAGTAATAAAAGGGGGTATATACTGTATATGTCGAAGGCACTAACAAAGAGATTTAGGATGGAGAATCAGTAGCTAAGAAATAATAAGGTCAGAAATCACACAATACCAGGTTATAGTCCAACAGGTTTGAACAAGCACTTGGAACCTTATTCCTCCTTCAGCTAACACCTCCGAAAGCTTGTGTTCTCAAATAAATTTGTTGGCATATAACCTGATGTTATGTGATTTCTGACCTTGTCCACCCCAGTCCACCACCAGCACCTCCACATCAAGAAATAATAAGAGCAGAAGGTCCTGGGAGGAGCATTTTATAGGTATCCTAACAGTAATGAATGGTGGACTGAAAAGTAAGGATAGATCAAATCTAACGGCTCCTAACAGGGCACTGAAGAGGTATATGGGCTGTAACAGTGTTCGACCACAATCTGTAACCTCTTGGGCCAGAATATATTCCACTCCACAGTTAGCATCGTACCAGGGGACCCACCCTGCTTGTGTGAGAAGTGCATGTCAGATGCAACAGACATACCGTAACCTAAGGTTACAGTAGATTGCATTACTGCCTCACAGTGCCAGAGCCCCAAGTTCGATTCTAACCTCGTGTGACTCTGTTTGGAATTTGCACGTTCTCCCTGTGCTTGTGCTTGTTTCCACTGGGTGCTCTGGTTTTCTCCCACACAGATGTGCAGGTTAGGTAGATTGGTCATGGTAAATGTGGGGTTACGGGGATAGGGTGGGATGCTCTTTGGAGGGTCAGCGCAGACTTGATGGGACAAATGGCCTCTAAGCACTTTAGGGATTCTCTCAAAAGGCAAAGGCTCCATATATATTCACATATTCAATACTGGGGGAAGCCAAGCACATCAGTGCGGCAGGCAAGATGAAAATTTGCAACCATCTCCAGACAGAAATGCCGAGTGAATGATTTATCTTGGCTTCCTCCAGAAAGCCCCAGAATGACAGATTCCTGTGTGCAATCAATGTGGTACACTTCATCTGAGATTCAAACAGATGAAGGCACTGGAATGACACAGGCCCTCACTATACTCCAACCAAACAGCACTCTCCTTTCATGAAGCACACATTTTAATTTTCCCCTCGAGTCTGTATCCTTGTGTAATGTCCTGAAGGGTACAAGTAAGAAAGCTCATAAAGTCTCTTTTCAGCAATGCCAAAATGATTTTGAATTTAAATTTTTCATTCTCCAGGGTTTTTCAAATCCATTTCCTTGCATTCTCATAATGAAGCTTGCAGGGAAAAACAAAGTCATTCAGAAAGACAGGAATTTTGCAGAATTATATTAGATCAATTGCCCTAATTGCTCAACAGTAACATTGGCAAAACTGTCACACATGCAACATCTTTATTCCACTGGCATCAACTTGCACAAACAGAAACGCTGAAGTTGCTGCCAGAGACTATATACATTTCCAGAAAAATGGTACTGAGGCACTTCCAGAATTCAATGGAAAATCAATTGATTGACAAGAGCTTCCACTCATGTACTTGACATCAAACTGGATGAACCCTGGGAAAAATAAATACACTTCATGGTCTCTTAGAGATCAGCAAGTTCACCTACGTGTAGAATTGCAGGAGCTGGGTGAGATACTGAACAAGTATTTTGCATCAGTGTTCACTGTGGAGAAAGATATGGAAGCTAAAGAGCTTGTGGGAATAAGTAGCAATATCTTGAAAAGTGCCCACATTACAGTGGTGGTGCTGGATGTCTCAAAACACATAAAGGTGGATAAATCCCTGGGGCCTGATCAGGTGTAGTCTAGAACTCTGTGGAAAGCTAGGGAAGTGATTGCTGGGCCCCTTGCTGAGATATTTATATCATCGATAGCCAAAGGCGAGGTACTGGAAGACAGGCAGTTGGCTAAAGTGGTGCCATTATTTAAGAAAGGTTGTAAGGAAAAGCCCGTGTAATATAGATCGGTGAACCAGACATTAGTGGTGAGCAAGTTGTTGGAGGGGATTTGAGGGACAGGATTTACAAGTATTTGGAAAGGCAAGGGCTGATTAGGAATAGTCAACATTGCTTTGTGTGTGAGAAATCATGTCTCACTAACTTGATTGAGTTTTTTGAGGAAGTGACAAAGAGGATTGATGAAGGCAGAGTGGTGGATGTGATCTATATGGACTTCAGTAAGATGTTTGATAAGGTTCCGCACGGTAGACTGGTTACCAAGGTTAGATCGCGTGGAATACAGGGAGAAATAGCTATTTGGATAGACAACTAGCTCAAAAAGTAGGAGGCAGAGGATTGTGGTGGAGCGTTACTTTATGGATTACAGACCTATGACCAGTAGTGTGCCACAAGGATTGACGCTGGCCCACTGTTTTTTGTCATCTATATCAATGATTTAGATGTGAATATAGGAATATGGTTACTAAGTTTGCGGGTGACACCAAAATTGGTGGTGTAGTAGGTAGCCAAGGTGGTTACAAAGACAGAAGTTGCTGAAAAAGTTCAGCAGTTCTGGCAGCATGTGTGAAGAAGAGTCAGAGTTAATGTTTCGGATCTGGTGACCCTTCCTCAGAACAGGGAGGATCACCAGACCTGAAACATTAACTCTGAGTCTTCTTCACAGATGCTGCCAGACCCGCTGAGTTTTTCCAGCAACTTCCATTTTTGTTCCTGACTTATAGCATCTGCAGTTCTTTCGGTTATTTTCCAGCCAAGAAGTTTACCTCAGAGTACAAGGGAACCTTGATCAGATGGGCCAATGGGCTAAGGAGTGGCAGATGGAGTTTAATCTAGATAAAATGTGAGGTGCTGCATTTTGGTAGGGCAGGATGTATGTACACTTAATGGTAAGGTCCTGGGGGGGCCAAACAAAGAGACCTTGTCATGCAGGTTCATAGTTCCTTGAAAGTGGAGTCGCAGGCAGACAGGATAGTGAAGGTGGTGTTTGGTGTGTTTGCCTTTATCGGTCAGTGCATTGAGCATAGGAGTTGGGAGGTCATGTTGAGCCTGTACAGGACATTTGTTAGGCCACTGCATTCAATTCTGATCTCCCAGCTATAAGAAAGATGTTGTGAAACGTGAAAGGGTTCACACAAAAATTTACAAGGATGTTGCCAAGGTTGGAGAGTTTGAGCTATAGGAAGAGGCTGAAAAGGTTAGGGCTATTTTCCCTGGAGTGTCAGAGGCTGAGCGGTGATCTTATAGAGGTTTACAAAATCAAGAGGGACATGGATAAAGGTGAACAGACAAGGTCTTTTACCCAGGTTAGAGGTTTAAGGTGAAAGGGGAAAAATTTAAAAGGGACTTTAGGGGCAACTTTTTCACACAGAGGGTGGTGTGTGTAGGGAATGACCTGCCAGAGGAAGTGGTGGAGGCTGGTACAATTGTAACATTTAAAAGGCATCTGGATGGGTATATGAATAGGAAGGGTTGAGAGAGATATGGGCCAAGTGCTGACAAATGGAACAAGATTAATTTAGGATATTTGGTTGGCAGGGACGAGTTGGACAGAAGGGTTTGTTTCTGTGCTGTCCAGCTCTATGAAGCTATGACTCTAACTACTGTTAAGTATCCTCACTGGCCACGAAAAACCAAATGTGAGCATAAAATGTCAATATTTCCCATGACAGTAAATAGCGTACTTAAAAAAAACCCTTTATTATCTATCTTAATTCAATTGTAATCAACTGATTAATTTCTTTCAAGTGTAAAGTTACACCAGAATTCATTACAGCCTTGTATCCTGGCTTCATTCAAGGTCGGTGTTGTTGCTTTGTCACTGACTGAAAAGTTTAGAACGTTTGAGACATTATAATATCAGGTCAGCGTATCTAATTGCGAACGAATGAGAAGAAGTGCAACTTGAAATTGACATAACGCTTTCAGCATTTCATATCATATTTACTAGCAAAGCGCCATGAATGTGGTATGTGAAGTGTGAATATGAAAAGGAGGATCACCCATATTAAAATTATTTGGGAGCTCAACAATCACTTTGGATCCAACCTGATACAAGATCCAAAAGATCAATTTTCAGAGTGATCAAGTTTTAGGGTTAAAGTAATTTTTCCGCAGCAACAGTACACAAAAAACTTGATCTAATTTTTTGGTAATCATTTAAAAATTTTTCAATATACTTGCTCTAATAATTATTCAATCTCATAAAAGCCAAGTATTTGTGCAAATGTAGCATTGACATGTACAACTTCTTAGAGTCCCATATATAAAGCCCTAATGGATGAGTTGAGCTTTCTTACAGAACAGCTGCTTGTGACTTACCATATGTAATACCAAAATTAAAAGAAAATTATGAACTCACCCCGTTTAATGGGTATGCTTTCCATCCCAGCTCTCCTAGCGCAGCTGTTGTGTCTAACAGCACAACTGGAAATAAGTAAAATATTATTATTATTATTTAATTGACATTTGCAAAAGCAACAAATAATCAAAAAATACATTCATTTCCTGACATCAAGTAATGGTACAAACTTTCTGTGCACATATTACAAATTGCTGTGATTTCAAGAATAGTGCCAGACTGTAGAGGAAGAGTTAATTAAGTTTAGCAGCAAAGATAAACAGTACCGTGGCTTTAACAAATACTGTATATACTTGTGTAAAAGTCAACATTTTTAGACTATGTTTTAAGGATAAAATTATGGGCTCAACTACTACACGGATACTACTTTTGGGGCGTTGTATTGTCCAAAATACCGTCTCATTAGTAGAAGTCCAACTGATCTCTAAACAAATAAGAAAAAAAACAACAAATTATAGTAATTACTGGATAAAGAAAAGAGACAAAAATGAATCAGCAAGCTTTTATTTATACGTACAAAATGTGAAGTAGAAATATAATATAGTTTTAAATTACAATTACGTGGTACATCTTATATTAAACATGTCAAAAACAAAAGTTCATTATAATCCTGCAAAATCACACTGTTCAACATCTTCACTATCGAATAAAGCTTCATAGTCATCAGGATGAATGATATCATTGTATGGATCCTTTTCATCTTTGCTGTCCGTAGTTAGAGGTAGCACATCATGCACTTCTTCTTCATCTTTCATCCCACAGATGATCGCCCTCTGTACTGTTCAATGCGTCTTAAACTTTTGTGCCAAATTCTTCCGTTTCCCTCTGTTTTTTCTCGTCTACTGTTGTTTTAATTTTTCAAACAAACATTTTAAGCTTTTATTTCTGATTAAAAATTTATCAGACATTTGACTCCCATACAGTTTCACCGATCATTTCCTTGTTGTAACATTTATGTGCAGGATGATACCTTGACTCTCAAATGTTGATCTCTTATCTGTGAAGAACTAGGGTTGACTTTTACACAAGATATATGGAAAATTCCAGATTATTTGGCCAAAAATTGGGGGTCTACTTATACATGAAATCGACTTTTACTCAAGTGTATACGGTTGTTAAAAGGGCATTTTAAATGTTCAACAATCTGGAATTCAATGCCTGTTTGACATTGTGAAGAACAACACAATTATTAGCACAGTTAGTGCAGTCAAGTCAACACGAGCTGCAGTCAAATCTGTTGTAAACAAATCCCTGAATCTTACTAACATAATGTACAGAATGAACATTTATTTACACATGGAGATGAAGAGCCACAATGGCTTTCCCATTAGGGAAGACTGATGGATGCATGGCAATTTTAATATACTTATTTTGACAAGATTTTGTTTTGAATGGTAGACTAATGGATCATACATTTTTTTTAAATGTGCCCTTTCAGACAAAGCAAAAAATAAAAAATTGTATTTCCAGAGCACCTTTCCAAGTTTCAGGATGTCCCAATATACTTTCAGCTAAATAAGTATTTCTTTAAAAAAAACAGTCACTTTTATAAAGCAGGAAACACAAGCAACCAGTTTGCACTCAGGAAGATCCCACAACAGCGATGAGATAATGACCTGGTAATGGTGCTGATTTCGGATTAATATTAGACAGGGCATTTTAAGGTTGTGAAAATCTATTTATAAATGCAAGATTTTTTGTTTTGAAAAGGAAGAAACAATTGTCATTTGATCTGGCATATGACATGGTTAATAAATGCTAGGAGATCCTCTCCTTACCTTTGAAACAGCAGAAAGCATACCATAGAACCAGCTCAAAAACATGCATTTTGAGTGGTATTCTCCTTCATTGGATGACAGATCGTTTGATGATTTCAATAGTTCTGATGTTTAGTGTAGCACCGAGAGTAGTCTTCATGCTATTTGCCTTGCACTACTAGTTAGTGATATTTTTAACAGTTGCTGTATATGCTGTGTGACATAATGTTTAATAATTCATCAAATGAAAAATTTTATGACCTTCATAAATTAACAAGGCGATTTATTCACGATCGTCACTCAATAGCAGCACAGACTAAATAGTCCAACAACCAAATAGGTCACCTTTTACATATAGATATATATGTGTGCTATAAAAACGTTAGGCAGGATGCCGGCAGAATCCTGAAACTTAGCTGCAATGCGTGAATGCGAACATAAGCTCATTATTTATTCAAACACTTTGGTACCAGAAACCAAACAGGGATGGACGGTTCCAAGACGTTCTGCAAATCAAAATGTAATTTTTGTTATGCTATGTTTTCGTCCACATAGAATTAAGATTTGAAAGCTAATTCAAATATTCATTCTTTTCTAATTGATCATTAAGCATATTAATAAAATTGTCCTGATACCTAATCACAAAGCGTTTTTACTTAATAACGAAAACACCCAATTTAACAACATCTATCCTCGTGGATGCAACTTTCACTAAATTTTGAAGTCTTGATAAGCAGAGTTGGTTAAAATGTAAATCTCTGGCCCTCATCTGTGGCCATATAATCAGAAGCACTGCTAAAAGGAAATAACTTCAAAATATTCTTGTTGTACATTGGATTCTGTAGATCTCTGCACTTCATATTGACAAATGTGGTTTAATCTGTTTCTTGGCAGCTCATCATCTTAGTGCCATGTTACTATTCTGATGGGATGCATTAAGGATATATAAAATGCACCCATGGATAGAATTGCTTTATTTTTCCAATAATGTAAATACCTGCTGCTCAGATAGTGCTGAAATTGAATCTAAACAGAGTCTTTTTCCCTGTATGTATAATGAGTCCCGAGATGTAGAGTGAAAAAAGTGCCACGTTATTCGTGACATGAAAAATCTTAGTGAGCCACAGAGCAGCAACAAATTAGCATTTCCTCTCTGGGTGAGATGGTTTTAGTTTATTCATGTTGAATGCATTAGCACACAGGAAAGGGGCATACTTCACTTTTTTTTTAAATGTTAGCACTCATCCTTTTTCTGCACTTTTAGGGCAGAGGTTAAACAAAGGGCAAGGCTCCTGCAAAAATGTTTCAGAATTACTTCCACCATGGCACTAGTATAACATTTCTCATTCTTCCTGTCATTCTTCCGGTTCTTTTAAAGTGAGGCTATAAGTTTAGATTTTTTTTAAATCTACCTGTTCAGTGATGTTATTACATACCTCTGGAGCAGATAGGACATGAATCTGGCCCTTCTGGCTCAAAGTCGGGAACACTACCACAGGGCCACAAGAGCCCTTAGGCTATAATTGGGGATGAACAAAAAACAAACTAGCAGAAATAGCAACTATTAGGAAATAAGCTGAAGTTACCCAAAACACATTCAACTTATTCACATTAAAGTTGGCAGTGGTACAAGATTCTGATCCCATTAGTCCTGGCTTGATTCTAGTTGCAAGTCTGAAATCTTGCACCTTCCTTGAGTCATATTTTCAAAATGTACAGTAAAATGGAATTCAAAATAAAAACAAGTGGGAACCAATATTTTAGTCAATAACCAGAATTCTCTCCATTAGCTGTCCGAACATAGCATTCTTGTGTAGATTGTATCTAAAAGCATTCATGTGTTTCATTGTATGTACATCTGTTGCTGTACAGTAACTACTGGTTACAGTTTAAAAAAAGTTTACTGACCTCCTACAGAGAAAGAGTTAAACATTATTTTCTTCAATACAAAACCTCTGTAATCTTTCCTTTGAGCATTTTGTGCCCACAAGTTGTGTTAAAATTAAATAGTTCTACACGTACAGAGATAACTAGGATACAAAAATCATGTAAAAGGCATGATTAGGAAAGAAAAAGATTCAAGCTTTACAATCATGTAAATTCACAAGTAGACTCATTTATAATGGCAATATTTTGGATTGTGTATCAAATATTGGAAAGCAAAAAGATGAAAAAGTTCTTTTGCCTTACCCTGGTTCAAAAGTAATACTCAGAGTTAATAAGCTATTGTTATCAGGGTTTTAGGCTTTTAGTCACCTACTTAGCAATCACAGCACCAAAAAAGTGCCATAAATTAACTGACAATGTCATAGTTTTATTTATTTATTTGGATGCATTGTTATGAATGGAACAAATAAAGACAGGCAGACATGAAGAATGGCAGTTCACATGTACAGTGTGCAATGATGCAGCAACCTTGTGACCCGACATATTCTCCTTAACATTATCTACTGGTCCCTTTGAAAGTAAACAGAATACTCTTTCAATAACAAAGTTGACTTGCTTACTTTTTCTTCAATATATTTTTAACAGACAAGTTATCATCATTGGACTAGATCTCTTATTTGAAAATTGAATTATAGATGAAATGTTTATTAACTGTACAATACTTAATTCATGCTTTCAGTTTTTTTTAGAATAACATGAGCTCTTTTTTTCAAATGCTGCTGAGCAGAAGGATTTTCAGAGTACACTAGAAATTTTGACCCAGTGTTATGTCAGCGTACAACGAGGCTTTGATCAGATGGGCCGAGGAGTTGCAAAAGGAGTTTAATTTAGATAAATGTGAATTGTTGCATTTTGGAAAGGCAAATCAGGGCAGGACCTATACACTTTAGGGTAGAGTCCTGGGTTGTTTTGTCAAACAAAGAGACCTTGGGGTGCAAGTTCATATTTTCTTGAAGATGGAGTTACAGGTAAACAGGATAGTGAAGAAGGTGTTTGGTATGCTTGCCTTTATTGGTCAGTGCATTGGGTATAGGAGTTGGGAGGTCATGTTGCAGCTGTAGAGGACATTGGTTAGGCCACTGTTGGAATACTGTGTTCAATTCTGGTCCACATGTTATAGGAAAGGGTTCAGAAAATAATTACAAGGATGTTGTCAGGGTTGGAAGGTTTGAGCTATAGGAAGAGGCTGAATATACTGGGTTTATTTTCCCTAGAGCATCTGAGGCTGAGGGGTGACCTTATAGAAGTTAATGAAATCATGAGGGGCATGGATAGGGTGAATAGCTGAGGTCTTTCTCATAGGGTAGATGGCATAGGTGTCAGGTGAAAGGGACAAGATATAAAGGGATTTAAGGGGCAAC